ACAGAACAGATCATTGAGGATTAAATTAATGTTTAACATTGAGTAATAAGTCTAAATACAAGTGTTTACCAAATGAAGGGATTAAGCAGGGAATGAGTATCAGGCTAGAGAGACAAATGTATTAACAAATCTTATACCTAACATAACAAAAAGAAACATACACAAGGATACAGGGATAGTTACCAAGACAGTGAAATCCCTGTCCCACATCTAGTGTCAAAAGACAGATTTATGGGTATTATTCAATTTGAAAGTGCTGTTACAGAGATACTGAGAGCACTGCTAAGGAGGGGGTTCAGAGAAAGAAAAAAAAAATCCTGCCTGAGAGAGAGCCAAGCAAGACTTCACAGAGGAAATAAAATTTCAACAGGCAGAAAGAGGAAAAGGACATTTTTTGGCAAAGGAATAAAAATGGATATGATCTATAGAATGTGCCAAAACATTCTGGAAAACCTTAAATCCCTTTGAACGTTTCTAAATATTACATGAATTCTTAAAAATGTGTAAGAAAAAATACACTGAGAGAATCATGCTACTGACTGTAACAAAGTACTGGTCCATGTTTCTTTTTTCTAATTTTCCTCAAAAAAAATAGAATTCTTATATAAAATCATACAAAACAGATTGCAAGTCAGTTTCACAAGGTTTATAGTTGGCCATTTTTGACAAAAGGGTAAACACACCATTCCATTTCTATTCCCCTCCAGTTGAGACTAGTAGCCAATTTCATACTGTAACATATTTAAAACATTCAGAAGTCAAAGTGTGACATTTTCCACCATGTCAATTCCATGGTAAGTCAATAGCATATTACCAGGCCAAGAAACCCACATATAGACAAAGGCAATCCTTCAAGATAAAAAATTTTCCAAATCTTATAATTTAGAAAGAAACTGTTAAAGATGGTTCTGGGTTCTTGGCACAGTCACTTTAAGCCATTCCATAATGGAGTTTGTATTTCATCTAATCAGCAAGTCGGAAACTATAAAAGTCTTAGTGGGGGGAAAATTAAAAATTTGGATCCTAAGACATGAATTTTTTTCTTCCCTTCCATGTGTTTCTGTACAGGAAAACTTTTAAATCTTGTTAAGAAAAAAAAAGACTTCTAAAAAGAATAAAGCAGCCTTTAAAATCATATTTTTGGTACAGGAAACTTAAAATATTTAGCCTTGAAAATCAAAAAGAAAAAGGGACACATGGTTTCTATATCCAGTGTCATGATCTAGGCATACACAGAATTATGTACGTTTATGTTTCAATTTCTTGCTTTTTCAACTTTTTTTTGGAGGGGAGAGGCAGAATCAGGCATCTGTAACTTTTATAGTTAGTTTTTGAAAGTGATAATTTAGCAAACTAAAGTATTTCCATTTGAATTCAGTAAGGAAATATCAGATAGCAGTTGAAGCAAAGAGTATGTGGACTCTATTCTTATGTGAAGTTGTGTGAATTACCACCCTATTAAGATCGGAAGTAGAAAAAGTGACAAGACAATTTTTTCCTAAGTGATTAAATCAGGTAAATTATCATTCTATAAATGACAGAAATAGCAAGGTATACTCTTCAGTTCTGAGTTTGTTTTCCTTTCCCTTTCTCTGTTTTTGGCTGGACAATTTCTTCTTTCATACTTTTTATTTCTATAATTTTATGTTACTGCACAGGAGAGTTTCTTTGCTTTCATCTGCCTATCCTTTAAGTGAAAACTGTTTTTCTAATGGAAAGATTTTATTTGTAAAAGTTTGTCCTTTTTTCCCCCCACAGTATATCTAGTTTTCATGGCACCCTGCCTCATGAAATGATACATGTTATCATCTCTGTCTAAGGATTGTTATTCTTTAGACTTGCTTCTCCTAATAATTTGTTTCAGTTCTACCATTTGCATTTGAAGTTTACCTAACATGACTAAAATTTCTATGTTGCCCACGGATACCTGAATGAGTTAATAGAATCTGAGTGAAGATCTTAAGCCATATATGGGTTTTCTACATGGGATAGATTCACTCATATGTGTGTTCTACATGGGATAGATTCACTCATATGTGTGTGTGTGTGTGTGTACACAGTACTGGGTTTAAACCCAGGGCTTTGCACATGCTAGATAAAAGCTCAATCACTTGAGGTACACTATCCTCGGTCCTTTTTTGTAGTTTGTTAGTGAGATAGGGCCTCAATAACTGCCTGGGCTGTCCTCGAACTCATCATTTTCCTACTTCCCAGTAAATGAATAGCAATGCATCGCTATTTTTGGCTACTAGATTCCCTCTTGTGTGCCTGATTTTGCACAGTAATGTATTAGGGACCTTGATATTTATGTAGTTGGTAATCTTTTCCCTAAACTAATTTAGTTTTTTTTAAATGAGAATTAGCAATTTCTGGAGAAGTAATGCATGAGGAGAAAGTGTGTGCCAGAGATAAGTCCTGTGTTGCTAACAGTCTGCCATAGAATAGGTGAGTGGTATTAAGGACCTGAGTGGTGCATGAGACGACTTTCAATCAATCCTTTTTTCACTTTCCATGTGAGATTATGTTTTGTTGCTACACCTAAAGTTGGGGACTTACAAAGAAAAGAAGGTTATTGAGTTTACAGTTCCAGAGATTTAAGATATAGCCACAATCATCTGCTTAGCTCTGGTGAGGGTCTTCTAGCTACATCATAACATGGCAGATGGCATGAGCAGAAGGGAACAATCATAAGGCAAAACAGGTTAAGGCTGGCTCTTTTAACAACTCCCTCTTGCAAGGATTCACTATGAAAGAGCAGCGTTAATTCCTTCTGAAGGTGATGTTGCCATGACCTAATTACCTTGAAGTTAATTCCGCTTCTCATCATCACCACATGGATCTCTGAGAGGTACACTCAAACCATAGCCAAACCATAGCACTGCTTTCCTCTTCAGTGCATCTTCACCTGTGCAAGCTGATCTTAAGTCATGGACCTCTCTTATTCATTATGTTTCCTTTCCCCCATTTGTGAGAGAGTAAGACTGTTAACCACTAAGTAGGCGAGCACCTTTAGGGACAAACTCCTGTATTAACTCACTTTTGAAGTGTTCATGCTCAGAGAAAGTCTCATCTGCCATCTTTATAAATAAGCTAAGCATGCTGAAAAGTGTTCCTGTCCACTGTTTTAACATTTGAACATGTACTCCATGAACTTGAGCCAAGCATGTCCAAAAATATGTCTGCCACCCTCCCTTCTGGAACTATGACCTTAACCTAAGCATGTCAGAAAGATGCCTGCCCCTAGAGTACTTTACTATATGAATATGAATATGTATAGACTTAAGGTACCTGCCATAGGTAATAAGTCTTTCTCCACTCTATAATTTCATGACCATTCTTGTTTTGGCCTTACACTCACCAATATTCCAACGCAGTATATTCAGTTACAAAAGCTTATTCTGATTTACCCACATGAACACCAATTTCTTTGCCCACCATTTATTTTGCACCTTACTCTGTCACTGCTAGATTTCTGTTCTCTGAATGAACACACTTGGTAAGGTTTTTTAGTGGACTGATTTTTATTTAATTTCTTGGCCAAAGAATTCCACGACCACTGAGGTTAATTCAAAACTCAAAGCTAGGATGATATTGACAAATTCTTAGCAAAGACAAAACTAATTCTCCCTCCAGATCCCACCCCAAGAAAAATGAAAGTTTACACAGGATTCTTGTGCATTATTTTATGTTATCCCTATACTGAGGGTATAAATTGCCCTACATATACTGAGGGCATAAATTTAAGGACCTAATTCTTGGGATTTCACTGGCTCACAGTTTAGTACCTACTCCAGAAGGAAAAAAAAAACCAAAAAGCCCCATTCCATTGATTTCCATAATTGGTAAATGATTCCAAACAAGGTGCCAGGTCCGATCTTTTATTGCCATTTCATTTCTAGCTACTGGAATCTCTCACTACTTTTGAGCTTAACTAAGCATTAAAACAAACTGTTGGGGCTGGAGGCATGGCGTAAGAGGTAAATCACCTGCCTAGCAAGTGTGAGGCCCTGAATTCAAGCCCCAACACCATAAAAAAAAAAAAAACACTGTTATATTTCATTAAGCGTATCTAGATATTTTTGAATAGGATACTTTCTTACTGTCTGGTCTACCTATAAGTTTCTTTAAGAGCATTTTAGTGGTATTTGTGGATACAAGATATGTTTTTAATGTACCATCTTCTGTGGAATATAAAATGATATTTTTAAATAATTCTAAGATACTTACCTATGAGTGCACTTAGGAGTCACCTCCCTTGCCATTTGCTCTTTGTTTTTCTAATATTCATTTTGTAATTAATATAGGAGAGGATTAGGGGTAATAACTAAAAAAACACAGATATTAAGAAGAAAGCCTAGATCTCCAACTTAGTTTGTGAGCTCAGGAAGTTTAATTTTTTTAAAAACTGTTCCCTATTGTGTAAAATGAAAGACATTGAACCTAATTTTAAATATGTGGCATTGCCATTTTGTAGGTCACAAAGGTAAGTTTAGCAATCATTTCTTATGTTTAACACTCACATGACTTTCATCGAGCTTTGAACTTCAGGAGTGCTGGTCACACAGTTGGTGGCCAAGTGATGGATCCACTTCTCTTAAGAATTCCATTAAAAGGAATTGCAACATATGCAAAGTTTTAAATATTGGTCATTTGAAAGAATCAAATTTAGTTCTAAATAGTCATTTTGAGGATAACATTGATTCATAAAATATGATATTTATGCAAATATTGCTATTAGGACAAAGTCATTATGTAATCACATATTCAAGGTTCTCCATTTTCTTTTTCCATTAAGTTACAAGAAGGATCACTACATCTCACATCTATCTAGGCTAAACACCAAGCACAGAGTAATAAATTTTTCAGTACTTCCTGTACAGTATCACCATCATCAAGTCCTTACCTGAGTTAATTGGCTCAGAACCAGTACTCACACTTCAGCCGGTTTCAATATATATGGAGAAGTCAAATTCTAAAGAGTCAGTAAGCTAGTTACTCACTGTGAGAGCTAGCAGCTTCCCATAGGTGAGATGTGCAGGGATGTGGTCAGTCTTGGACCTCAATGATTCCATGTACCAATGCTCTGCTTCAGGGAGTTTGCTTAATCGCATGTATGCTTCACCTGGAAAGAGAACAGTAGTGGTCACTCAGGATACAAGCTCTGGTGTGTGATTATACAGTAGGGTGGTGATAGGTAACATTTCAAAAAGCCAAAAGAAAGAGATCTGAATACTTTTACCATGAAAAAAATTAAAACTACTTGAGGAAACAGGTATGCTAAACCTGACTTACACATTACACAATGTGTACATGTATCAAAACATCACATAATCCCTCATTTATAAGTATAGTTTTTGCCTTATTATGTATCAGTTAAATGAATTTAAGTTTGCAATAAATCTATGAAGGAAAAGAAGAAAACTGAGTCTATACTTTTCCAAAAGTATTTGTAATAGCAGTATCATCTTTATGCTTATATTCCATGATATTTTAGACACTGTGGCAAGTACTTTCATTCATTTTCTCAATTAATTCCCAAGGAAGCTGTCATTATTTTTATTTTATAGATGAAAAAATTGTGTTTGGAAAACAAAGTGAAGTACTTGTGTTAAAACTTTGGTAAGTAATAGATCCAAAAGATAAATGTACACACAAAACAAACATGATCAGCTACACATCTATAGACTATGTTGGCAGTAGTGGAATTACACTATGGAACTCAGGGGAGAAGGGAAAGAAAAACAGAATGTAAACAACAATATGGAAATACTTCACATCTGTGCAGGTAGAGGACATAAAACTGCATAACAATGGGGTGGGATGGAAGAAGTAAGGTACAGTAACAAGAGGAGGTTGAACTGACCAAAGTAAAGCATATTCACAGCTGGGATACACTGAAAAGTCCTTTTGAAAACTGACTTTGGAATTTATAATTAAAGACTGCAAAATGAGTACAGTATGCAAGGTGGGAGTTATGGAGGACTGAATGGAGGAGATGAAGATAAAAGAATTGGGTGTTCATATATGTAAGGAATACTAGGATGAAACCTCTTGTAATTGCTTTAAGTGAGAAGAGGGTGGGGGAGGCAGATGGAAGGGGTAATCTAACCAATGTACAATGTAAGGCTATTCAGAATGGTCACAACAAATCCATCCCTGCACAATGAACATATGCTAATAAAAATGGAAAAAATGGTAAATAATAAATAGAGTCTTGATTTTTTTTAACCATGCAACATGTGGTTCCTAAGCATAGGTCTTTTGTCACCATTTTTTTCCAAAGGTAAGACAGTTAGTTCTTCTGAATGATGTTATTTTTTTTTTACTCTCATTCATTCATTCCTTTAGAAATTCAAGTATTTTTTATAGAAAGCAGCCTTCTTGTAGCAGTATGCAAACTAAATTTTACATTATCCTTATACAGAAGGCATGAATTTGCCATGGATTCTGCCATGTTAAATAAGTATTTGTAAATTCAGCAAATGGAAATTTTTCTTAGTAAAAGTGAATCACATCCCTAAAGTTTGAGAGCCTTTTTGAGGGACTACTTGAAGAAAAGTGTAGTCTTACTCTCCAAGGTCATATACCTTTGCTGAGGAAGTAAGACTAATTGAGTTAAAATACCTTTGGTGTAAACATTGCTGGTAAAGTTTAATCTTTTCCAGAGACCCTTTGCATTTTAAATGTTAATAAGTAAAAACAATTTACCAGTCTCATTTGGAAAATCCAATAAACACACAACAATTATTTAGCATGCCTAGTTTTCAGACACTAGTCATTACTTCCAAGTTATACAAAATTTTTTGGCGGGAGGGCAGTACTGGGGTTTGGGCCTCACACTTGTTAGGCAGACAATCTATCACTTAAGCCATTGTCCTAGTCTTAAATTATATAAAATTTAGCTACTAAGTTTAATATTTCACTAATAACCAGGCAGGAGAAAAAAAACTGGAAATAAATCTAAAAGTATGTCAGTTGCCTGCTTTTTATCACTCCCCTCTCCCTTATAATAGAGTCTAGAAGAATATTTAACTGATAGAAAAACTATATTGTAAGATAACTTGTTAAATGTATGTTAAATATTGTAGTTTTAATAAGCACTGAAAATATATGCCACTAGGTTTCTGAGAACAGGCAACGCTAGGTTATGTCCCAGAGAGACCTTTGTAACTTAAGTGACCATAATTGTGATAGCTTGCTTCATTTAAAAGCACAGTGTTTTTTCCTAAATGTATTATTCACATTAGTTGTACATCTTTGTTCAAGGGAAGAACTGAGTTCCCCCTTTAAAAAAAAAATCAGTCACTTTTTATTAGCACAGTACTACCAAACAAAAAATATCTGATGAATTGAGTTGATCTATTGACCTCTAAATGCCCTTTGCTTAGCTGGTTAGTAAAAAATTATTGGTGACAAATATGCAATATGCAAAAGCACATGTGTTTTTTCAAACATATCTATGTGTTTCCAGTTCTTACAATAGTCTTTAAACTACACTATCATAAAAATGATAGTTGGAAAATGTCTGAGGGTTTTTGTTCCCCATAAAGTTTAAAACATGCTGACATTTAAGAAACTGGCTAGATTAAATCACATGTTTAGGATAAGATGCGAGAAATGCTGAAGCTAAGACCAAAGATTGAAATAGAATACACAAAAATGCTTTTAGTTGTGAACATAGTAAGTTAGGATTAGATTTTTTAAAATGTCTATTAGATCCTGTAATAATTTTCTTCTTTTTATTTTAATATAGCTATGAAAACGGATACACTGTCAGACAGATTTTTTTTCTCATGTTGAACAAGTATTTTCGAATATACTAAAGTGGTAATTTTTCTTAGAAAAAGCAAACCTCTTTTTCACACTAAAACAATATTAGACATGACATACATAAAAGAAAAGATGAAAAAGTACTGAAAAATTAAAAGCAATTAGTAACAACATATATCTAAACATTTAATTATAAACGGATTATAAAGACAGAAGAAAGAAGAGCTTACATTATGGTCTCCATCTGGAATCAGCCTGGAATTCTACTTGACCACTTCACATTCTTATATAGATAAAATTTTGAAAGTTGTACAACCATTGAACTTAATATAGCTTCCACTTCTAGTTTAAAAAATAGTGTTTAGTGAGAAAACCCTAAATCCAAAGTGTTTCTGAAGATTCAAATCTTCATTGTGTTTGTTGATATACAAAAATCATTTCAGAAAGAAGTGTGTTTTTTTTAACTGTGTCAGAAAACTATCATTAATTTGCTAAATAATTAGTAATTGGACAATTTCTTCACTAGAACTCTTAAGTAGCTGTGTAAAGCTTGTGATATACAGAAATATTAAAGACCTGTAAGTATGTAAGAAAAAATAATCACCCATCTTGGCATTTAAAAGGAAAGTGACAAAATTAGTCTACTTAAGGTGCTAGTTCTTAAAATTTAGAAAAATTCTTTGTATAGGGATTCATTGTATCTTAATAACAAAGGATAACAATCATATATTAAGTGTTCACTATGAATTAGGGTAGCAAGCCACTGGTGGTAAATGTCTGACTTCTATTCACTCACTCTTCTTATTCTACACTTAAGACTCATAGGGAGGCTTAACACATTACTCACCCAACCACTCACCAACTGTATATTTTCAAAACCAAACTATTTTCTGGCCTCTTTATTAGCTTCTCTCTCTCTCTCTCTCTCTCTTTCTCTCTCTCTCTCTCTATATATGCATTCCCTGATATAATTGAATGTCACTACCTGGATTTTATGGAAGCACAGTGGTTAGGTAGCATAAAATAATGAACATGCAAAGTCATAAAACTTTAATTTTAACGTGGGACTAGGCTGCCCTCAATACATTGACTTAACCAGCTATTAGGCAATTAAATAAAATTTCCATCTCCTAGCTCAGGTGAAAATTATACTCTCTTACTCATAGAAAATTGTTTTCTATCTGTGGTACATTGGCTAGTAGGTTCATTTCACTTTGCCTTGGGCTCATCTATTAAATAAAAGCAATAAGGAAGAGTGATAATAATCCACAGCTGACCTTTAATTTTGCTTTCTATACATATGTGATTTGATTCTTAAAGGAAATATGTGGTATGTAAGGTGCACTTGGGTGCTAAGGTTAACCTCAGCACATAAAAAAGTCCACAAAAGTAGTAATAATATCAAATGCGAAACCTAAAATGCAATAAAATGATCATGGATACCTTGGATGTGGCAAAAAGGCAACTCAATAAAGATTTAAGAAACAAACAATATAAGAACAAGTACTTGCTGTAACACTAGTACTGCAATGGTCCAAGCTTTCCATCCCTCATTTCTAATCCACAAGAAGGGATTTATGGAGGAAGAGAAAGGCTCAGGGGTCATATGACAAGTGACTTGCACGAGACATTTAACAACCAATACTAAAAGGTCTGAATGGCTTTAAGACCAAGAATTTTCCATTGCATCAAACTAACTGCCATGTGAAGCTTACTATTTATTGACTACATACAAACATCTTAATTATCTTTATATCTTTACATTATTCTTACACTTTAATGAACATCAACATACAAATGAGGTGACTATGGCTCACTGAGCTTAAATAACATGTTTAAAGCGAAAAACAAGCAAGTGCCAATTTCATAATTTGTATTAGAGTTTTTTTCTGGCTCTTTACACCTTAACATTCTCCACAAATACCATAAAAAAAAATCACAAAAGAGATAAAATAACTGCATAAAGTGCCATTAGTGGCTTCACTTTTCGGAGAGAGTAGTATCTATGTAATCCTTCAAGCATGATTAAAATATTAAAATCATAAAAATTCCAGAAAGATAATGGCTACAGGAAAAGAAAGTTCAGTAAATTCATTAAGGAAGGAAATAAAGATGGTTGGTCAGGAAGAAGGTAGAGGGGGAGAGTTAAGTCATTTTCCCTGGTACTGTATATTTTTCTTAATCTACAATAATAGAAAAAATTGTTTATAGTTCCCTGGAGGAAAGAATCAATAATTACTATTTTTCCATCTCATCCTGCAAAAAATGACATACTAGAGGCACTTTCATAAGAATGAGATTTGTTGTGCGATGATGTAGCGATCAGGTTCATCACCCAGATTTATTTCCGAT